GAAAGAAACCAGACACAAAAGACCACACAATGTATGACTCAATTTATATGAAATTTCCAGAGAAACAAATCTACAGGGACAGAAAATAAATTGGTGATTGCTAAGATTTACTGGGTTTGGGAGTAGGAGGTAGGGATTAATTGCTCATGGGTTTTGGGGTTTATTTCTAGGGTGATAAAAATGTTCCAAAGTTACACTGTGGTGATGGATGCACAAGTCTGTGCATATACTAAAAACCATTGAACTGTATACTTTAAATGGATGAATTATATATGTGAGTTATATCATATACCATGACACTGTTATATAAGATTATAGTTAGATTGAACTCGAGTCATCAAAAAATGAAAATAAATCCTTGATAAAGAAATAGATGTGCTTATCTTTTGAGACCAGGTCTTACTATGTATCTCAGGCTGGCCTGGAACTTGACTTTGCAACCCAGGCTGGCCTCAAACTCAAGATCTTCCTGCCTCAGCCTCCCCAGTGCTGAGATTACAGGTGCATTACACCTTGCTCAGCTTTAGATGTGCTTCAATAAGGCACAAAAATAACAAAATCCAGTTTAATAGTGATCTTAATTTTGAGTAGTGATGAGCATAGAATAAATTTTGAGGCATTTCCAATAGCAAAAATTACTGACAGCCCAGGAATGCAGAGGTGGTTCAACATATGAAAATCAATAAACGTAATAAACCACATTAACAGAAGCAAAGACAAAAACCACTTGATCTTCTCAATAGATGCCGAAAAAGCCTCTGATAAGATCCAACACCATTTCATGATAAAAGCTCTAAGAAAACTAGGAATAGAAGGAAAGTACCTCTATAAAAGCTATATGTGACAAACCTACAGCCAGCATTATACTTATCGGAGAAAAACTGAAAACATTCCCTCTAAAATCAGGAACTAGACAAAGATGCACACTATCTTCACTCCTATTCAACATAATACTGGAATTCCTAGCCAGAGCAATTAGGCAAGAAGAAGGAATAAAAGGAATACAAATAGGTAAAGAAACTGTCAAAATATCCCTATTTGCAGACGACATGATCCTATACCTTAAAGACCCAAAAAACTCTACTCAAAAGCTCCTAGACAACATCAATAGCTACAGCAAGGTAGCAGGATATAAAATCAACATAGAAAAATCATTAGCATTTCTATACACTAACAATGAGCAAACTGAAAAAGAATGTATGAAAACAATTCCATTTACAATAGCCTCAAAAAAAATCAAATACCTAGGTGTAAACCTAACAAAAGATGTGAAAGACCTCTACAAGGAAAACTATACACTTCTGAAGAAAGAGATTGAGGAAGACTATAGAAAGTGGAGAGATCTCCCATGCTCATGGATTGGTAGAATCAACATAGTAAAAATGTCTATACTCCCAAAAGTAATCTACATGTTTAATGCAATTCCCATCAAAATTCCAATGACATTCATTAAAGAGATTGAAAAATCTACTGTAAATTTATATGGAAACACAAGAGGCCACGAATAGCCAAGGCAATACTCAGTCAAAAGAACAATGCAGGAGGTATCACATACCTGACTTCAAACTATATTACAAAGCAATAACAATAAAAACAGCATGGTACTGGCACAAAAACAGACATGAAGACCAGTGGAACAGAATAGAGGACCAGATATGAAGCCACACAACTATAACCAACTTATCTTTGACAAAGGAGCTAAAATATACGATGGAGAGCCTCTTCAACAAAAACTGCTGGGAAAACTGGTTAGCAGTCTGCAAAAAACTGAAACTAGATCCATGTATATCACCCTATACCAAGATTAACTCAAAATGGATCAAGGATCTTAATATCAGACCCAAACTCTAAAGTTGATACAGGAAAGAGTAGGAAATACTCTGGAGTTAGTAGGTATAGGTAAGAACTTTCTCAATGAAACCCCAGCAGCACAGCAACTAAGAGATAGCATAGATAAATGGGACCTCATAAAACTAAAAAGCTTCTGTTCATCAAAAGAAATGGTCTCTAAACTGAAGAGAACACCCACAGAGTGGGAGAAAATATTTGCCAACTATACATCAGACAAAGGACTGATAACCAGAATATACAGGGAACTTAAAAAACTAAATTCTCCCAAAACTAATGAACCAATAAAGAAATGGGCAAGTGAACTAAACAGAACTTTCTCAAAAGAAGAAATTCAAATGGCCAAAAACACATGAAAAAATGCTCACCATCTCTAGCAATAAAGGAAATGCAAATTAAAACCACACTAAGATTCCACCTCACCCCTGTTAGAATAGCCATCATCAGCAACACCACCAACAACAGGTGTTGGCAAGGATGCGGGGAAAAAGGAACCCTCTTACACTGTTGGTGGGAATGTAAACTAGTACAACCACTCTGGAAAAAAATTTGGAGGCTACTTAAAAAGCTAAACATTGATCTACCATTTGATCCAGCAATACCACTCTTGGGGATATACCCAAAAGACTGTGACACAGGTTACTCCAGAGGCACCTGCACACCCATGTTTATTGCGGCACTATTCACAATAGCCAAGTTATGGAAACAGCCAAGATGCCCCACGACTGACGAATGGATTAAGAAAATGTGGTATCTATACACAATGGAATTTTATGCAGCCATGAAGAAAAACGAAATGTTATCATTCGCTGGTAAATGGATGGAATTGGAGAACATCATTCTGAGTGAGGTTAGCCTGGCCCAAAAGACCAAAAATCGTATGTTCTCCCTCATATGTGGACATTAGATCAAGGGCAAACACAAGGGGATTGGACTTTGAGCACATGATAAAAGCGAGAGCACACAAGGGAGGGGTGAGGATAGGTAAGACACCTAAAAAATTAGCTAGCATTTGTTGCCCTTAACGCAGAGAAACTAAAGCAGATACCTTAAAAGCAACTGAGGCCAATAGGAAAAGGGGACCAGGAACTAGAGAAAAGGTTAGATCAAAAAGAATTAACCTAGAAGGTAACACACATGCACAGGAAATCAATGTGAGTCAATGCCCTGTATATCTATCCTTATCTCAACCAGCAAAAACCCTTGTTCCTTCCTATTATTGCTTATACTCTCTCTACAACAAAATTAGAGATAAGGGCAAAATAGTTTCTGCTGGGTATCGAGGGGGTGGGGGCAGAGTGAGGGGGCGGGGTGGGTGGTAAGGGAGGGGTGAGGGCTGGGGGGAGAAATGACGGAAGCATTGTATGCACATATGAATAATAAAAAAATGACTGACAGCTTCATTTGCACTTCTAAATAACAGAATTGAAAAGAGGGGGAAAATGAACTAATTTTTTCTCTGATGTGGCTTCCGAATTAAAAAACACATAAGAAATACTTATTTTTAGTGAGGCAGGAGATTTGCAAGGCAGATTCCAGTTGTATGCTTTTATGACATTTATGCAAAGTTGGCTATGCCAGCAGAATCACTGCCAAACAGCTAGGACCTTTCTGGCTTATATCCTTTGTCATCTTGCAAAACAGTAGAATTGATCAAGAAGGAACCTAATGATGTTTGGTCTCCAAGGCAAAGCAAATTAGGAAGGGGAATGGGAAACTGATTCAAAAGGAAAGAAATGACTGAACTACCTAAAGGAGTTTCATCCTTACCCTCCTATCCTCAATTCATCATAAAAGGTGATGTGACCAGAGTAGCATATGTAGTCTCAGGTCAGAATTGGGGAGATATTTTCCCCACATCATTTTCACTGATGTCCACCCCAGGATTGATATTCAAAATATTTGACAAGTGGCAACAGCCATAGACCAATCAAGATAGTTGCCAAGCACAATACTAGAATAGAGTCTTTACAACTGGGGATGGTAGAATACACCTATCATCCCAGCCACTTGGGAGGCTAAGACAGAAGGATCAAAAGTTCAAGGCCAACCTTGGGCAATTTAGTGAGATCCTGTCTCAAAAGAAAAATTAAAAAGGTCTTGGGATGTAGCTCAAATGGTAGAGCATTTGCCTAGCATGTGTGAGGCCCTGGGTTCAATACCTAGCACTGCAAAAAAAAAATTGAGTCCTAGAGGACTCACCTTTCTGCTGTGGCAGACATTACTTGCTGGACTGTGGAGAGATCCTAGAGGTAGGACTAAGGCAGTGGCTCTTGGCACAAGCGATATTCAACTCCTCTTCTAAGAAATGAAATAACTGCCCCGGTACATACCATGCACATAGATAGAACAGAGAGAGAAATAGAAGAGAAACTCTTAACTTTTATGAATAAAGACCGAACAAGTGGTTGATGGTGCATTCCTGGGACATCTTGCTGATTTCACAGCTAGATATTTCTTCTCTTGGAAGAAGAAAAAGGCCAAAAAAGATCTCACTGTACCACTCCAAGTATTTTTTTTCAAAGTTAGACTCTAAATTTTAAAAGCTGCCTAACTGCAAAAGAAGGGTTAAATATGGGTTCAAATCCTTATCCTCACCTTTTCATTATCAAAGAAGAATCAAAGAACGCAAGGAACCTGAGATTGGACCAAAGAGTATTTGCTCTATCACACTATCAGCTACTCCAGTTCTGAACACTGAGGTTTGCCTTCGAAGGGGCTTTCTCCTTGGACTGGACACCATCCCTAGGATCCTCCTTCTATAGACACATCTATCAGCTCACACTTACCTGAATTCTTCTCATGAGGACAAAACCTCCAACGAACAGAGGAAATTGGATTAGAAAAACCCTGAAACATAGCCTTTACTGGGCAGGAAAATGAATTTCTTGGGCTATGCATGTGCATGGGGCTCCTGAGCAATAAGAAGGAGGTGAGCCATTTTAACAACCACCATTAATTTTTTTTTATTAAATTTTTAAACATATATAACAATAATTTCTTCTCTTTCATAAAACAACTTAAATATTTTCAATATTAGCTTGGGAAAAGATGAATAAAAAGAGGGAAATTAAGAAAAGTGATCAAAAGATAAATTTTAGCACAGAATAAATATAGCCTCTTTTCATGGGGGCTGCTGCCAGAATGCAAGGTCCTCAGCCTCATAATTGGCAACTTAAAATCTCCTCCAGCTTCAGTATGTCCAAGGTGGGGATTTTGGTGACTTCAAAGAAAATCCTGCAAAAGGAAAAGGGGTCTATTCAGTGTACAATACGCCAAAGCCAAACAGAGTCCATGGAACAAGTGAGATATAGAACCCTTAGTTTCCTATCTTGCTTTAACCCTGGAGTAGAAAGGAAGGAGAAAAGTGTATGAATTTGCTTAAGTGAGACTTGTCTGGGCCTAGTGTTTTAAAGCTTCCCCATGAATGAGAACAAACCCAACCTCAGATGGAGCTTGGTACTTACTGGTGAGAATATTTGTTATACACAGTTTTGAGCCTCTCATAAGATTGGAAATTCAGCAGGATGTTCAGTTGCCTGACCAGGGAGTGAAGCTCAGAGGTGTTGTAGCCACTGTAATATTCCAGGATAGGAGCCTGGAAAAAGAAGCATGAACAGTGACTTCTACTGTAGGAAGCATACCCTGCCTCTCTCTATGCTGTTCTAAGTCCAAACTTCCCATCTATGATTTAGGGAGGGATGATATTCAAAACATTTCAAAGATTCATACAGTATACACTGACCACTGATTGTAGGGTACTGCCTAGAAGAGTAGGTTTTAGCCACAAAATCCTGGGATGGCTCTATTCATGTGTACCAGTTAGATGCTAGCTCTGGTTACAAGTGTTCATATACGCTAAAATCCACCAAAGTCCTAAGGAAGAGGTCTGATTTTGTCATTTATTCACTCTCAAGCCTAAAGCCAACAGCTAAGCAAATCTCAAAACAAATTCTGGTCCTGACTCAACAGCCAAAAGGAACTTAAGACTATACTTCACCTCTGGCTCTAATAAGTATCATTCCATACACTCATTTTCTCACTCAATTATAAGAATGCCTATTACGTGGCCTAAGCAGTATAGCAATATTTAGAAGCAAAGGCTCTGAAGGAAGACTGCTTCAGTTTAACTTCCAGTTTTACTAACAGCATGTCCTGGAGCCAGTTATTTAGCCTCATGGTTCATGGTGCCTTGGTTGCCAATCTGTCAGATGGGAATCATTAAAGTAATTACACCACAGGATTAAACATATATATATATATTTAATATATATGACTGAATATATATATACATATATATATGTATATATATATAAAACATATGTTTGTATACACACATACACATATATGGTTGGGGATGTACTTTTCTAGCATATACAAGGCCCTGGGTTTGATCTCCAGCACTACAAAAAAAGCCCTCTAAAAGGTTTTGGAGCTAGGAATGTAGTTCGCTGGTAGAGCACTTTGCCTAGCATGCTGGGTTCCATCTCCAGCCATCACAAAAAAACAAAACAACAACAACAACAAAAACAGAGAACAAGCATATATCAAGGGCCCAAAGAATGCTAGCTAGGATAATATCACCAAGTCCTATACAGGATGCTAGGATTACAAAGGTGAATAAGGCACCTACCTTTGAGGAGTCTAGTCTAGAGAAGGAGACAGACATGCAGAGAGCTACAAAATGTGTTTAAGTGCTATGATTAAAGGGATCATGGGATACTGGAGAAACAGAGTAGCAGGACCCATGAACTTTGTCTGGGACAATCACTGAAAGCTTCACAAAGGACAGCACATCTGTAATAGGTGTTGAAAGTCAAGAGGGAGATCAATGGGCAGAGAAAGGAAGAGGCTTTATCTATAAGCCAGTGGTTTTCTTATGTCTTAACTCATTTTTCCTGAACTCCTTTTTCTCTAAGTACCTGACCTGGAATCCCAAATATCTTGCCTACAAGTGGGGGTATGAACCCTTTACTTTTTACATGACCCCTGAAATACTCCTGCAAGAAACTCAGGGTTCCCCCGAATAGAGTTTGGAAACCACTACTACAGACAAAGGGCAGTCACTAGCAACGCTGATCTAAGGACTGACACAATATATTGGGTACGTTAAATAAGTTTAGACAGCTCCACTGTCAATGTATCAGTTTAGGCCCTCAATGATTCATCTTACCTGTTCCAATAGCCTTCTTGCTGGTGCTCTCACCTGTCTAGTCTTCCTCATCTAATATTCCCTCTATTTTGCCATACTGGTATGGTTTCCAAAACACACAAACATTAGTCTCACTTCCCTGCCTAAAAAAACCTTCAATCCCTTAGTACAAAGTGGGTATCTTGGGCTGGGGATCTAGCTCACTGGTAGCATGTTTGCTTGTTATGCATAAAGCACAGGGCTTTTCTCCATTGCCATAAAAATGAGTTGAAGTGGGCTCTCTCAGCATGGTATACAAGATCTCTCACAATTTGAGAAATGAGACCACAATGGTAGGCTGTAGTCAAATGCTCATTAATGGACCCTCTGCTCTATCCATAGGACATGTCTTATTCTGACATAAACATATCACATTCCTTCCTTAGTGCCTTCATGTCTTTTCAATTTTTACTCCTTCTACCTCAAATGTCTCCTCTCACAAGTTCCTACTCATTTTCAAGACCCTGCTCAAAAATCAACTCTTCTGTAAAATCTTCCTTATCTACAAGAGAAGGCAGTGTACATATTACAAAGAACTGTGGAGCTGAACTACCTGAACTTAAATTAGGACTGACATTTAGCTGATAGTTACTGTTTTAACCAATATTAAAAACACTGAAATATTTCTATCCTAGTTGGCACACAGTTTGCTCCCCTGACCTGCTCATCGGTCCCCTTTAGGACCCACTAAACTTCTGCAGGGTTCAAGGGTCCAAGTTTGCTTCAGCTTGGGGCCTCTAAGATCACAACTCCAGAGCTGGTCACACACATTCGAAATTATACACTAGATTTAGATTTTTGAAACCATGCCTAGCCCCACCTCTCTTTAGCTGGATAAACATGGGAAGTTATTTCTTATCTGTAAAATAAGGATACTAGTACTGATCTTGTAGGGGATGATGTGAAAATTAAATGAGTTTAATAAATAAAGTGCATAGATTACTACTTAGGAAGTCAATAAATGCTAGCCACTATTGTTATTTTATTATTTTCCATCATAATCATTATCATTCATTGAATGCTTCCTCTATCCCAAGAAATTTCAGTAAGATTTGTCCAGGTTCACACAACTGTTTATATGGTTCTTTCTCAGCATACAGAGGTTTACTCATTAGCATCAGCTCAGAAGTTCTAGATAGGATGAACTTAGAGGTGGCTGGACAGGGGCTCCATTTGTGAGTGTATTCTCTCTACTTAAATTACATGTTGTTACACATTCTTAAGATTCAAAGTTCTTTAAAGTTTCTTTTATCCATATCTTTTTATAAAATAGAGAAAACATCAAATATGAGTTTTACTTGTAGGTGATTACAAGGCTTGTCGAGGTCCTCTTTAGAGGATAGCATTATAAGCATGTTTCTGAGCACCCTGTAATATACATAGATAGTTGTTTTTACTACTCTATAATTCTATGGGGTCAGTGCTTTTCAAAAATCCTGTTCCAACAAACTCCTTAAGAGGCCACCTTTGTTGAGGGGACTGAAAGAGACAGGATAAATAGGGTAAGGGATAAAAAATGGGGCCACCCCAGACCCTGTGATAAACAGAATAACTTCACATTAGTATGTTTTGCAAGATTGGGCTTCAGGGAAGGTTTCTTTGGAACAAAAAGTACTGTGACTAAGAAGAGTGAAATAAACTATTTCAAAACCACTGCTATAGAAACTTGTGCCCATAAGTTGTCTAGGTATCAAAGAATTTATAACTGTGGATACATGGCAGCTTCCCAGATACATAATAAATTTTTACCCCACCCTTACCCCAACCCCCATCATAAGGTTTTTTGGTTTGTTTCTTTTGTAGTGCTGGGATTGAACCAGGGCCTTGCATATGCTAGGCAAGCACTCTACCACTGAGCTACTTGGCCAACCCCCCCCATTATAACTATTTACCCAGTGTCCAAGTTTATTCATGTAGAGGGCCAGGAGGAAGGAGCCAGCAGCTAGCTTGGAAGCCCTCTCATGGATGTACTCATATTCCTGCAGGGTTATCTCACAGATGAAGCGGGACAAGGTCAGTGTCTTCATGTTGGTCTGGAGACACTAAACAAAGAAATAATACTGGTTCAATAATCAATTTAGAAAACCAACATCAGGAAGAAGACTCCTTTCTCCAGGTATCCTTCCTATAGTCCAAACGGCTCTCTGCTTGAATAATGTACCTCTCCTGACACCAACTGTGACATATGATTTTTGTCTGCAAACACACAGACCCTGAAAAAAACAGATTCTGAAATTGGCAGTGGGATGTGCCATCTTTAGAGTTTTTAAACAAATTATCAAGTGTGTACCCCCCCAACTTCCCCTTTCTATAGGAATCATCCTTTGGATAAGCCAAATTTCCCAACTGTGACTTTGCATCTTTAGAGTTTTTAAACAAATTATCAAGTGTGTACCCCCCCAACTTCCCCTTTCTATAGGAATCATCCTTTGGATAAGCCAAATTTCCCAACTGTGACTTTGCACCTGGTTCTTCCCTAGGAGGTCTTTCATGCTCCAACATACCCCCTTCCCTTTTCTGTTTTAAATATATAACCTATAACACATACATAGATAAAAGTGCACAGCACACACTTGTAGGATATAATGAGTAATTATCAAATGATCTCCCCTGTAAATGATACTCAACTAAGGAAAGAAAATATTTCCAGCACCCCCCTAAGCTTCTCATGTATCCCTTTTTGATTAAAGAATGTACCCCCCTTCTCTGTCCTTATTTCAAAACCTTATAGGTACACCACAGAAATCTGCAACTTGTCCTCTATCCCCTCTACTTCATACGGATTGCAAAATTTGACCTAGGAGGTTGGCACCCATGTCCAGAAGTGGAAGAACAAAGATGTGCCCCTTCCCTCTTACTATAGCATATCGGCGTAGAAAATGATAGGCGATGGGAATGTTGATGTCGAACTCAAGGGTTTTCAGGATGCTGACTTCCATGGCAAGCATCTCTTTTCGCGGATAAAGGTCTTCACAGATATACAGAAACTCACCCACAGAAGGTGGGCAGGGCTCCTATGGATGGAGAGAAGAGGCAGTCACAACCAGGCAGACAGCTTCCTCCTCTCTGCTTATTGACAGGTGAAAGATAGAAGGCAACCACATTTCTTGGCACAGACCTTCAGGATAGCCCTGAGAGCCAACTTCTAGTTGACCTGAGTAGCCTGACAGAAAAACAAAACCAGAGAAATGAGAGCAAAGGCCTGCCCCCAAACTGTACCACCTCCAGGGCAAGGACAGGGTCCACGGAGATAGTCTCTTACAGTGCCAAGAGTGACAGAGCACAGGGGCTGAGAGCAGTGATCGTCCCTCCTCATGAGTGAGAACCAGGAATAGGATATCTAAGACTTGCTGTGGGGGAAAAAAGGGAAGAAATCCATGGAAGGAGGAGTTAAGAGATGGGTAAAAATGTATGTGGGGAGGGGCTAAGGGGTAGAAGAACCACTGTCTTGGGAGAACCTTCCCATCCCTAGTTGTCTGGAGGTTGAACCTTGATTTGGGGAAGATCCCTGACTCTTTCTCAACCTGGAATTCACTATCTACCCCATGTTCATACACTACTTTCTTTCTTCTCTCTTCATCCCATCTCCATACCTCAGCATACAAAAAAATCTTTCAGTACTTCAATTCTGTGAGGGGAAGACATCCTTCCTCCATAGGACTTAGTAGGGGCCCTCTGTCATGGCCACCAAAGGAAGGGTGCTACTGGGTCCCATATTTGCTAAAAATTGCTCCTGCTTCTCTTCTATCTTTTCCTTCTCTACCCTCTTTCCCTTTCTATTGGACACAGCCAACCCTGAGGCTAATGTATAGGATATCTCTAGGGGTGAGCATGGAGAGGGGCTTGAGGAGGCTGAGGCAGAGGAGGGAAAGAGCAAGTTGAATAGAGGGAGGCAAGGGGGTGTTGGGGGAGGGAGAAGGGGAGGGAAGAAAGGAGCCAGCACCAAAACAAACAAATCCATGGTTCTAAAGTTCTTTGAGCTTCTTAACAAAAATTGCTACCTCTCTGCTTCCAAACCCTGAGTTTCATATGACTAGCATAACTGAAGGAAAAAATGAGAGTTAAACAAGATCGTTAGCATCTAGGAAGGGAAAAAGAATCAAAGAGGTTACTAGATAGACAGGTTATGGTCATGAAGAAAAGGCCAGCTACTCGCTTTTATACTACTGCTTCAAAAGTAACTATTTCATCTGAACCATTTAGACTCACTACCATCTACACCAAACCATTTTCTCTTAAATGTCTCCTGCACCTTTAGCTAGACATGTATCATTATATACGCAGATCAAGATTACACTAGATGGGGATGGGGTTGATGGAACAAGAAAAAGAGGGGGAGGGGCAAAGAATATGAACCAGAAGGAAGTTTTAAAAAGTACTCATTTAATTAGACACATGTGCATATAACTTATCTTCAGAGAGGAAATAAAACAACCTTGCTGATGCCAGGAAACAACTGAAGCCAACCAATACCAGCTTTCCTGCTTTGGGGAAATAGACAAAAAATTGATAGGAAAAGTATTTGGTGTGTGCAATTGGATACACAAACATA